TTATCTGGGCAGTAAATTTGTTTTTGTCAGTAAAGACTCAGTAAAGAATAAATCCAAAATAGTAAACATACAGTTTGTGTAAAAGTTTGGGCACCCTGACCTTTTTATATTACTTTTCAGTGTGAAACTATGTTAATACATCATCTATAGAGAACACACTTCTGCACATTTAAATTCACAATAATTTTTATTTGCTGAATTTAACATACGCAAAAATACGTCAAATTGGCAAAAGTTTGGGCACATTTTATATCTTGTTTTAATTTTCCAGTATGTTAAACACTGCATGTAAATAGAAATTTGCACTAAGATTAGCAGAAAATGGTGTATTTACATTTGTTCCCCGTAGAGAGCATGTTAACTTATTTTCACTAGGAAAATTAACAGAACATCGACCGAGTGTTCAAAATGTTGCATACGGCTATAAATACTTTATTTTCAAAAAAAAAAAAAAAGGTGTTTTCAGATTTTTCCTCAATGTCTCCGGCCATCACAAGGATTAAACTCGATCAGCAGGAAACCTGATTTTAATTTAAAGAAGTAGTGATTAAATAAAGTAGATGATAACTGCACATAATACTGGGCTTTCTTAGGGAGGGGTAAATCATTAAATGAACACATTGACCTAAATAACATGCCTAATTATTATGTTAATATTATTTGTATTTAGATTAGCGTTTTCCTGAGCAAATATGCTCGCTGCCTAGATACATAGCTTTTTAAATATGATTTGGTCATGTATCTAAGACTTTTGAGCAGTATAGACGCTAAGGGTGGGTGATACGACAATAAGTTATTGGATTTGCGATACATTACTTTAGAGTATCTTTTCCACACTGCAGATATTGTCAGTATTTCTAGATAACTGCACAGTTGCAGATGTAAGGAAACTGCTGAAAGCCTGTAAAACATAAACTAGTTCACAAAAAACTTTGGTGCATTAATTAGCTGCATACGTTTGCTCTCAACCTAAAAAAGTGAATGTGCGGATGCTCTGAGAAGCTGCCTGGATATCAAGTTATTGTGCTGCACATTATGTATCATGAAGATCACAGTAGTATGTTTTTGCCATCACCCAACCCCCATGTCTGCCCTAGTTTAGATTCTGAGGCACAGCTGGCCAGTCTGATGAATTGTTCCCTCCGTTCGTCTGGCTGTAGCAGATTGTTGAGCGCTGCATTCCATGGGCAATCAAACTCAATAGATGCAAATGAAAGATTCTGTTGATTTGGAGGTGTATTGGGGGAGGAAGAGTAGCGTAGGATGGGCTGCCACTGCTTGTACAGCCTCTGAGGCAGAGAGGCTTTGTGTAGCATGGGAGCTGTATAAACTGCACTCACTACAGTTGGTCTGGCTTTGTGTGTGAGCAGTTTTTGAGTTACTCACGAAAGTAATTCCATTACGAACGACTAATTACTTCTCTCAAACCCTAATGGGATTTCTTTCTGAAAAAATGTCATCTTAATACTCATTACTTTACTTCTGTGTTACTCTGTAAAACCCACATAAATCCGTGCGAGCTGTGCAAATGTAGTAGCCATGTTCAGGAATTTACTTTGTTAGAAAGTTAGAGCCAATCACTGTAAACATCATTTGGAATGCTTTTTGAAGAAAGCATAACCAGTTAGACCTGATAAAAATCTGTTTATCTGTTTGAGAAATGGTAAACTAGTCAGTAGAAGTGTTGCCTCAAAATAAAATGTTTATGAATAAATGGTAAAGCTGACAGAGCTGTTTCTGAAATGAAAATGTTTGGGTGAGGTTAGAGTTCTCTTCTTCAGCTCAAATTATGTAAAAGCACAGGCACAAATAATCAATAAAGAGGAAATGTATGTTTAATGCATCACATAACTATTATTGTCCGCTTGAAGACGTATGAGTAATGCCAGCAACATGATTCTTAATACGTCAGTAACTGTAACGATTACAAGAATTTAAACTATGAATGACACTACTTTGTTACAGAAGAAGTGATGACATGTTACTTTGTACCATGTAACGTCCAACACCTGTGTAATAGTAGCTAAATATTGGATATCTACTTATTTGAGGCAATTTATTTGTTATGCCTTTACATTGTTTGTAGATTTCATGAAGAATGAACCAAAATAAACAGCACAAAATGACCTGGAAAAAAGTCTGGTTCCACTGCCTTACATTAAAAGTAAAGTAGGTTTTTTCCTTCTCCTGTAAAGTTACCATTTTGGAGATACAAGGTTTCTTCTGACAACAGTGACATGTTCCATGTGTGTTATATATATTTATATGCCCACAGTCGTTTGCAAAAGTTCCTCAGTCCTCAGCACCCTCAGTCAAGTGACATGTTTTGTTGATTTGTGAAAGACGTCCTCTACAAGGAACAAACTTGTGGTAAAATGGTATTTTCTGCTAGTTTTAGTACACAATTTCTGTTTATTTGCAGAGTTTAACAAACTGAAAAAAATAAAACCTATAAAGCCAGCAGTTAAACAGTAACTGTGCATTAAAATGTGCAGAAGTTTGTTCTCTGTAGAGGACATGTTCAGCTATTTTCACTTAGAAAATCAACAGAACATGTCATTTGACCAGGGGTGTCTAACCTTTTTCATGTGACAGCATATGTAGTAAGACATTTCTAAGGATAACCCTAAGCTTGAACTTGATATCCAAAAAAAAAAAAACTGTGATGGAAAGGTCTTTACTAATCGTGACAAGACAGGCTGACCTGTTCTTCACTGATTTTCCTACAAAGTCAGAAGTTTTTGGTTTTGAAATTGTAGGAAGTCATACAGAGAAGCAAAGCATAGCACACAAACTCCAAGTCCATAGAGATTTTGTGTAATAGAGATAACGGTTAAATTTTTTTTCTCCTCGCAAGTTGACATTTTGCTGGTTAATGAGGCATGCAGTAAGGAAATTGTGTGAGTATGCGTATGTGTGTGTGCACGCTACGTGTGTGGGTGGTCCGGGATTGAGAACAACAGCTGAACGGGGTCCAAGCCGGACTTGAGTCCACAGGGAGGCTGGTCTGCGCAGCCGATAAATGTGCTTCCTTTAAAAGCGAAAGAGCTTCCTGTTGTGCTCCTGGCTCATCCACTCCAGCGTTTGCCTGCGCTGAGGAGCTCCCAGCTGGTGAACTAGCTCCACAGCAGTTTCAGCAGCCCTGTGAAGGAGCATTTTTAATGTGGTTTCCTCAGCAGTGCTTTACCAAAACCACCAGAGGCTGCAATAATGAAGTCGAAGAACTGTTTTGTACTATTTCCCGCACTTGTTACCAGCGACTCACTGATGTATCGGTCGGCTGATTATTAGTCCCACAGATTTATCTGTGTCTGTGGAAATCATGCAGATAATTACTGGCTCGCTTTATATTTTAATAAACTGACACCGCTGGGAAAAACATTAATTACTGATTAATAGTGATTTTCATGCTCATATGTCTTATGATATGTTTTATGTAGTTTTTTTCCATGAATTGCTCGATTTCTGAATACTGTTGTTGCATTTATTTGATATGTAGAGAACATGATGTAACAAAGCCTGAAGCCTAAACTACATTTTTGAACTACCAAACACATGAATAGGAATATAAGTCACACGTCAGTCAGTCTTTATTCTTACTCTAATTAAACAAACCATGTGCTTCAACAAGAAAAGAATGGAGACAGAATGGAGACAGAAAACACAGTAGCATCCAAAAAGCTGTGTTTCTACATGCCGAAATTGATGGACTGATGTTACTGTTCCCAACGGGGATGTGCACACGCTGTAACTCCTCTGGCAGCAGATTTACATGAGCGCCTTTCCTTTTTTCTTTTCTTTTTTTTCTGGGAGGGCCTGTTGGTTAGAAACACATTATCAGTCACAATCTGCTCCCTTCTATTATGGCTGTAAAGGCTGAAGCAGGACATTTATACACAAAATATTATCATGGTTGGGTAAAACAATGAAAATATGTCAAATGTATCCAAAAGTGCATTTTACTTTAATGCATTAGTCTACCAAGTTATGACCGAAACAGTACTGCCAGTACCCCTTGTGCCCAGTCTAAGTTAATGAGAATGAGAGTTAATGAGAAAGGCGGCTTGGGATGCAGCCTTCAGCAGACTTTGCTCCTGGAGTTACCCGAAATTCATAGTGAAACACGAGACATCAACGAAATGGGAGAAGTTCTGAAAAATAATGAATAGAAACAATTTAGACGAATGTAGTAAATGTGCAGATTTTGGTGTCATTCCAGCCATGGAAGTTAAGTCAAGCTGAAGTGCCCTCTCATTAGCATTTTTCTGCTCTTGCAGCTGTACGGCCTTGTAGATCCGGTATGATGACATGAAACACTTCTGTGAATGTTGCAGACTGTACGTTCAAAGTCTGTGAGACTGGAGACGGTCCAGAGATTTAGATTGGGCATTGGTGTCTTCTCACTGTCTCTTAGTTAAGTGGGAGGGACCTATTATAGGCATGCGCTTGCACTCAATTGGCTGGGCTTTTTTCTGAATTTGGGCTGGCTGAAAAAATTTGATTGACTGGAATTTTCAGTTGCTTCTTTCTGCAGGTGTAACGGAAATCAACTCGGATTTTTAAAGTCAAAAAAAATTATTTCCCTTTTCCTTTGTTATCAGATTAACTAAGACACTGTTGTGACTCTGTGCTAAGGTGCTAGTGAGCAGTGAGGGGTGAAAGGGCAGCGGGGAGAAGGCCTTGCCATCGAAATAATTCCCACCTCTACACAAAGACAGCTATGCTGAGATAAAACAGACAGCGCAACTGCAACTTTCTCCATATCAAAACTATTGTGTACAACTGCCACAATAAAAGCTCACCTAAAAAGACTTTTGTAAATCTTACACATTTCAAAAAATGCATGCCAGCAACGTTATTGAGAGTTGAACTGAGGGATGTCCTCCAAAACAGGCAGAAATGACATTTTATTTTACATTAATATCTGTATTGTACATCATTTTTGTACCGGTTTGGCCTGACTTCTTCCAAACTCTAACCTGACTTTATTGCCTTCATAGCTGTGACGTTTGCTGCCAAGGGCTACTTCGATGCTCTGGTACGGATGGGGGAGCTGGCCAGTGAGAGCCAGGGATCCAAAGACCTAGGTGAGTCACTCTCCTTCCACTTTTTCTTTCTTCCACTTTTTGTGCGTCTTCGTTGCTTTGGCTGTAGGACCTTGGAGTGCGGTCCTGAAAACATCACGCAATCAAGCCCACCACACGCCCTGCAAAACGCCGTCTGCAAAATGCTGTTTGCTCAAACAGAAATGTCAGGTCCGCTGAGAACAAAACTGCGCTCGTTTGAAATTGGAATGTTTTCTTCTTTTTTCCTTTGGCTTTCACTCTGTTGCCCTCATTTAATCCTGAGGAAATTCAAATTTTGTTTCTGTGCCGTGTGAATAATTTTTTGTTTTGCAAGCAATTTCTTGTGAAGAAGTGGGCTGGGGTTGTAATGATAACAATGACTGGAATTCTCTCTGTCTCTGCTGATTGCATCATTTATGACCAGTTTAGGAAGAGGAAGTGGAAAGAGGGTTTTTAGACCTACATTTTTTCCAATCCAGTATGCTCTTTCATTTTCCGCTGCAGTGAGGCTCGTAGAATCGTTTATTTGGTTCTTCGCTCCTCATTATTGTGCGTGCGTGCGTGTGTGTGTGTGTGTGTGTGTGTGTGTGTGTGTGTGTGTGTGTGTGTGTGTGTGTGTGTGTGAGAGAGAAAATGAGAGAGGGAGAGAGTGTAGGAATGTTGTTTATGGAGGATTGATATGCTCATAGCTGGTCCCGAGGGGCTGTTAAAGTGAAATGCGTGGCCAGATCCGCTCTCACTCTGAGCGACTGGAGCGCTGATTGAGCCTCGTTTGTTGCGATTGCTGTGTAAGTGACTGTAACTCGCTCTGATTTAGGATTTTAGTGCTTCTCTTGCTGAAGACTTAAAAGCAGCATCTACATCATTCAGTCTCTGAAGGAACTCCTCACTCTGCCATGCATTTCCTTTGATTTCACAGTTAACCTGCTCTTTACAAAGCAATCTACGCTCTGACTTTCCATTCACACTTCAGCCCTGAAAAGGCCATTAGCACTCCAGCCCTCTGCCTGTCTTTTTTTTCTTTTTCTTTCTTTCTTTCTTGCTTGTATTTTTCTTTCCTTTTGTATTATTTCTTGCTTTCCTTCTTGTGTTCCTTTTTTCTGTATGTATTGAATCTTTATGCATTTGAATCCTTCCATTCCTTCCTTTCTTTCCTTGCATTTGAAACTTTCCTTCCATTCTACCCATTCTTTACTTTTTATTTTTGTCCTTTCCCTTTTTCCTTCTTTTCATTAAACTCAAAATGAGTTCTTCTTGTACTGCTCTTTTTCAGCCCCAGTGACTCACCGCAGGTCCTGTAACACAATGTGCTGATCACATTACACAATTCATATTAGGTGTGTGCGTGTGCATGCGTGTGTGTGTGTGCGTACATGCTCATGTGTGTATTGCAGGCTTTTGCAGACTCGTGGTGAAACTATTCAGTGTCAGTGTTATTATCCTTCTCTGTGATGTGTCCTTCACCTTGATGTCAGACGTAAAGCTTAGTGGCTCCTCACCTCTTTAGCTGTAACAGCCCGTATTGATATTCCCCAGAACGCCTGCAATGAGCGTGCTTCTGTAATGGCTTGCTGCTCTCATGTTAGGAAGCCTGGAGCTGACCTCTCAAAGCTTAACCTGCTGACGTTCTACTTAGTTCAGTCTAACTTTGGTTTTCTGTCTCATAATGGTGGATCACTCTTTACCGGGTAGCATTGCCATGGCAACTTGTGCTGCACGCCAGACCTGCTCTACGGATTGGGTACAGGATTACGGTTCTTGGACTGATCAAGTCCCGCCTTCTGTTGGAGGTTGACACCCCACACCAAGTGGGTAATAATTACACATGAAAGCACAGCAACCACTTTGTGATGTTTGCGGCAAACAGCCAGGCAGGTATATAGAAGATATCGCTTTTCAGTGAAAGAGAAATCCTGCTATGAACATATAAAGAAAACTGAGTTATTGGAACAGTAAAATGCAGCACAGTTAACAAAGTGAAAGCAGTGATGCTATTGCTATAATTAAGTTACTTTACCTTCTTCATATTACACTGCTAGCCAAAAGTTTAAAATTGCCTAGCCACAGGAGGGTTTCCTTATTTTATTTATTTATTTTTTTACTGTTTACCATATTTTAGAATGTAGCAGTGATGACTGTTATTCACAACTATGAAATAACATGTGGAACTGTGTAAATTTATTTTAGACTCTTTTAGAAATTAGCCCCCCCTTTCACTTTGATACAGTTGTACACACTCTTTGTGTTCTTTAACGCAGCTTCATGAGGAGCCACCTGAGATGCTTTTTCCAGCAGGAATTAAGAAGATAATTGTATGCTGAGACCTTATTTTTGCTGAAAGCAAGTAAATTGGGGGCCGTTTCAAAAAAACGTTTTTCCATTTTTAACCAGTTTGTTTTAGACACAATTTTGCACACAGGCATCAACTTTACTATTCATATTAGCCCTTTAGACACCAAAATGTCTTTATGATTATAAACCATGCATATTCAGTTAGGTTTGTCCAAATGTTTGACTGTTAGTGTACATAGTGTGATTTCTTGTCCCTTCATGGAAAAAGTTAGCCACTCAACTCCTCTCAGTGTTTCAAACAACTGGCTGCTGGTCATAAATGCTTTCATGTGCACACCCACAGAGATTAATCATAGCTTGAGTATCTCGACCTAGGTGAACACAGAAAATTGTTTACTGCTAACAGAGAAGGTTGATAACTTTGTAAAACTGCTTAACTCTTGCATCTGGTGCGTCTGTTATGTTTAGTGTTTTTGTGAAGCTGTATGTGTGTATGCCTATACATGTTAATACATTATTCACTGAGCAGTGAAAAGTGATTAAAAATACACACAGTGATGTGTGGGAAAGCGTTATCTAACGTAAACACATTTTTGCTGTGTTTGTGCGTACGGTGAGGATAATGACAGGACTGTATTGTTGATCTTTTCCACTCATGGAGCAGACTATGGTCCACACCCAGGCACAGCTAGCCTAGCTCTCTCTCACAAAATCAGGGACACTCGCTCTCATATTTTAACTGTGGTTAGCAGTCCTACTGCACATGTTGCACAGATACAGTAAAGTGCCTCTTGTTATATAGACTTACTTCAGTGATATAATCCTAAGAAAGAAAGTGGGTATGCTAGAAATCTGTGCCAGTAAAGTAAACACAGGCAGCTCAATAGGGTGGATGGGTGGCAACTAGAAATATCTGATGAGTGGATGGCTCAATGACAACTAGATATATCTGTTGGATAGATGGATCAGTGGCAACTAGAAATGGATGGATGGATGGATGGATGGATGGATGGATACATCAGTGGCAGCTAGATATATCTGATGGATGGATGGATGGATGAAAAGCAACTAGATATATCTGATGGATGGATGGATGGATGGATGGATGAAAAGCAACTAGATATATCTGATGGATGGATGGATGGATGAAAAGCAACTAGATACATCTGATGGATGGATGGCAACAAGATATATCCGATAGATGGATGGATGAATGGCAACTAGATATATATGATGGATGGATGCATCAGTGGCAACTAGAAATGGATGGATGGATGGATGAAAAACAACTAGATATATCTGATGGATGGATGGATGAATGGCAGCTAGATATATGGATGAAATGGCAGCTAGATATATGGATGAATGGCAGCTAGATATATGGATGAGTGGATGAATGACAACAAGATATATCTGATGGATGGAGGGATCAGTAGCAACTAGATATGTTGGATGGATGGATGGATTAGTGGCAACTAGATATATCTGATGGATGGATGGATGGATGGATGGATGGATGGATGGATGGATGGATGGATGGATGGATGGATGGATGGATGGATGAATCAGTGGCAACTAGATATATCTGATGGATGGATGGATGGATGGATCAGTGGCAACTAGATATATCTGATGGATGGGTGGATCAATGGCAACTAGATTTATGGATAGATGGATGGCACCTAGGTATATCCAATGGATGGATGAATGACAACTAGATATATCGGATGGATGGATGGATGGATGGATGGCAACAAGGTTTTCCTGATGGATGGATGGATGGATGACGATATATCTGATGGATGGCGGGGCGAATGGCAACAAGATTTTCCTGATAGATGGATGGATCAGTGGCAACTAGATATATGTATAAATTGCAGCTAGATATATGGATGGATGGATGGCAACTGGATATATCAGATGGATGGATGAATGGATGGATGACAGCAAGATATATTGGGATGGAAATGAAATACATTGAATATTTAGATCAGTGGATGGCTATGAGAGATATCCGATGGATAGATGGAAACTAGATAGGATGGATGGATGGATGGATGGTAACGAGATATGGATGGATGGATGGATAGATGGCTGTTACAAACATTTAGACTGCATGCAACAAACAGGAGAGCAGAAAGAAGCAATGCTGCTGTGATGATGCAAATCTTTTCTGCAAATACCTGACCAAAACGTCCCTCATCCCGCTCAAACCACATCTCGCTCTTCATTAAGGTTGTGCAGACTTGAAGTTACAGTACAGTACAGGTTACAGTAAGCAAATGCTTTGGGCAGCCGCTTAAATGACCAATATTGTGCCAAAATTCAACTGCCCATCACACGCACATGCGTCACACAAGCACATGGAGGCTACAGATACGGCTCAGAATTTCTGTTGTTTCTTTTTATAACTAGCTATTTTCTTAAGTGTTTAGCTTAAAATATATGTTCATAAATAGGAACAACAGAAATTGGTCAAGTAGTTTAGCATCTACAAGTGGCACATGCATGTGACGGCTAGTCGGATTCTGTGGAAGACTCGGAATTCAGCACGACACCTGTTGTTTATATTGACTTATCACTGTGTTCAGCTACATGTTGAACTTTTGTTCATTTTTACAGTTGACAGCAAGTCATACTGTGTCCTATTCCGTATTGACCTGTCTGTGTGAGCGAAATGAAGACCTTAAAGCAGTTTGGGAGGGTTGAGAGAGGTTTTGAGAATGTAA